GTTAGGTCGGTCACTAGGAAAATATGATTCAGTTCCTCTGTGTTATAAAGGGAGGTCATGCTACCCTAAAATGTCACAAAACACAAATAGTTTTACTGCTTCCAAAAGTACAAGTAATCCTGGTAGCTCAATGAAGCAGAATTGCAAGCTTTTCAATTCACCTAAGCCTTATTCCATGGCCCTAGCCAATCTTCTCCTACGCACTTATCCGAGCACTCTCTGGCCTTTTGCATATACTACTTGGAATTGTTATTGGTCAGTTTCTCAATCAGACTGTAAATCCCTGGAAGGCAGTGTCCAAATTTTATACCTTTTTTTTTTTTTTTTTTTAACTTCTTCAAATTGCTTCAGAGTATACCTCTTCTGCATGATTAATTCTAAAAGGAAATGCCCTCTGAAGACATCCAGTCAAAACTCAACTTCCTTTTTAAATTTTTATTTTTATTACACAGGTAATAAATTTAGCAGCAGCCGGGCATGGTGGCTCATGCCTGTAATCCCACTTTGGGAGGCCGACGTGGGAGGATCATTTGAGCCCAGGAGTTTGAGACCAGCCTGGGCAACAAAGCAAGACCTCATCTCTAAAAAATATTTAAAACGGAGAGAGATCCAAGTTGGCTGATCACTAGCAGCTCGGGATTGCAGCTCCCACTGAAAGCGCAGAGAACGAGAGGACGCCACACTTTCAGATCAATTTTTGTTGCTCACGCACCAGAAGACTTCCAGCGGAGTGGCCCCACAGGTCACCAGCGCGACTCTTGTGGCCGGCGAGGCGGTTTTGCCGCTGCCTTGGAGCGGCGGTTCTCGGTGCAGAGTCAGAAAAACACCATCAATCTTAACGCTGCTGTTTTGGCCGGTGCAGTGGGTTGCTCACATTTTAGCGCTGGGAATCAACAGATTGGACGTCCATTCAGAAACCCAACTATAAAGATGGTAATTATAAAGACCACAGATAGATAAATTTATAACGAAGGGAAGAAACCAGCCTAAAAAGGCTGAGAATACCCAAAATCAGAACGCCTCTCCCTCTACAGGGGATCACAGTTCCTCATCAGCAACAGAACAAGGCCTGATGGAGAAAGACTGTGTTCCATTAGCAGAAGCAGGCTTCAAAAGGTGGGTGATAAGAAACTTCTGGGAATTAAAAGAACTTGTTCTAACCCAATGCAAAGAAACTAAGAACTTTGAAGAAAGGTTTGACGAAATGTTAACAATAACACACAATTTAGAGAGGAATATAAGTGAATTAATGAAATTGAAAAACACAACACGAGAACTTCGCGAACTATGCACAAGTTTTAACAGCCGAATTGATCAAGCAGAAGAAAAGATATCAGAGGTCGAAGACCAACTTCATGAAATAAAACAAAAAGACAAGATTAGAGAAAAAAGGATAAAAAAGAACGAGCAAAGTCTCCAAGAAATATGGGACTATATGAAAAGACCTAATCTACGCTTGATAGGTGTACCTGAATGTGACGAAGAGAATCAATCCAAGCTGGAAGATACGCTTCAGGATATTATGCAGGAAAACTTTCCCAACCTAGCAAGGCAGGACAATATTCAACTCCAGGTAATACAGAAAACACCACAAAGATATTCCTCAAGAAGAACAACCTCAAGGCACATAATCGCCAGATTCACCAGGGTTGAAATGAAAGAGAAAATACTGAGGGCAGCCAGAGAGAAAGGTCAGGTTACCCATAAAGGGAAGCCTATCAGACTCACAACAGATCTCTCAGCAGAAATCCTACAAGACAGAAAAGAGTGGGGGCCAATATTTAACATCCTTAAAGAAAAGAACTTTCAACCCAGAATTTTACATCCAGCCAAACTAAGCTTCATAAGCGAAGGAAAAATAAAATCTTTTGTGAACAAGCAAGCACTCAGAGATTTCATCACCACCAGGCCTGCTTTACAAGAGCTTCTGAAAGAACCACTACAAATAGAAAGGAACAACCAGTATCAGCCTTTCTAAAAAATACCAAAAAATAAAGAACATCAACATAATTAAGAACTTGCATCAATTAATGGGCAAAACAGCCAGCTAACATTAAATGGCAGTATCAAACTCACATATATTGTTATTAATTCTAAATTTAAATCGACTAAATCCCCCAATCCAAAGACACAGACAGGCAAAAAAAGCCAAGACCCATTGGTATGCTACATCCAGATCCATCTCACATGCAAGGATACACAAAGATTCAAAACAAAGGGATGGGGAAAAATTTACCAACCAAATGGAGAGCAAAAATAAATAAATAAATAGAAAGCAGGAGTTGCAATTTTTGCTGATAAAATAGACGTTAAAGCAACAAAGATCAAAAGAAGCAAAGAAGGATATTACATAATGATAAAAGGATCAATGTAACAAGAAGAGCTAAAGATCCTAGATATATACGCACCCAATACAGGAATACCCAGATATATAAGACTTATAAAGAGACTTAGACTCCCACACAATAATAGTGGGAGACTTCAACATCAATATTAGACAGATCAATGAGACAGAAAGTTAACATCGATATCCAGAACTTGAACTCAAATCCGGAATAAGTAGACTTAATTAACATTTATAGAACTCTCCACTTTAAATACACAAAATATACACTCTTATCAGTACCATATCACACCTATTTATAGGTTTAAATGAAATATTGGTTGGCTACTTGTTAATTATTTTCTTCTCTCATTTTTTTTTTTAATGTCTCTATTATTAAACACAATTAAGGCATACCCATTTTTAGACTGCATTCTACACCGGGCAATAAAGCAACACCCCTGTTCTCTCTCCCTCTTCCTCTTCCTCTTTCTTCCTCTCCTTCATTCTTTTTTAATTCTTTCTCTTTCTTTCTCTCTTAAAAAAAAAATATTTAAAACTAACTAAATAAATTTAGCAGAGACTGAAAGTTGTCCCAACAAAATTCTTTTTCTCCTTTCTCCATAGCATAGCAGTATTGCTGGTCATATAAATGCCTCTAAGGACTTTGTTCCCAGCCTGCCTTGCAGCTGGCAGTGTGGTATAGCCACGTGCCTATGTCCCTGCTAAGGGCTGGCCACTTTCGGACCAGGGCCTTTAGACAGTGAGTCGTGCCTCTTCCATACCCATGTTTCCTTCCCATGACAGCACCCAGACTTGGCTATTTAGAAGATAGCAAGGCAGGCCTGGTCTCACTCTGTCGCCCAGGCTGGAGGTGCAGTGGTGTGATCAGCTCCCTGCAACCTCCACCTCTTGGGTTAAGCAATTCTCCCGCCTCAGCCTGCCGAGTAGCTGGGATTACAAGCATGCACCACTGCACCCGGCTAATTTTTGTATTTTTTGTAGATGGGGTTTTGCCATGTTGGCCAGGCTGGTCTCGAACTCCTGATGTCAGATGATCCACCTATCTCAGCCTCTCAAAGTGTTGGGATTACAGGTGTGAGACATCATATCCGGCCGAAGATTTATTTCTTTAAGTCACAATATTGTTGGATCTCTTGTTATAGCACCTTAGCCTTCTACCCATTTGTCCCTTGTTCCACGAAGAGGTATGGCATTCTTTCAATTTTATTTTTATTTTTACTTTTATGTTTTTTTCAGACGGAGTTTTGCTCTTGTTGCCCAGGCTGGAGTGCAATGGCGCAATTTCAGCTCACCGCAACCTCCGCCTCCCGGGTTCAAGCAATTCTCCTGCCTCAGTCTCCCGAGTAGCTAAGATTATGGGCATGCACCACCACACCCAGCTAATTTTGTATTTTTAGTAGAGACGGGGTTTCTCCATGTTGGACAGGCTGGTCTCGAACTCCTGACATCAGGTGATCTGCCCGTCTCGGCCTCTCAAAGCACTGGGATTACAGGCGTGAACCACTACGCCTGGCCAGAGATATGGCATTCTATGAGAAAGTCATATTAACAAGATTCATAACATAAGCATATTACAGTGGAAATTATGGGAAAATATGTGAAACAGAGGGAAAGTCATGCTGGATCCTACTACCCCGAAATAACCACTATTAATATTTTGGGGTAGTTCCTTCTAGTCATTTCCCTTTGTAAAAACACACATACACATATTTTCCTACAGAAACAGGCCATATCAGTGTAGAGACTCTCTCACTTAATATCTTTTATTTAATATGTTGATATTGTTGATATTTTTCCAGCTCAAAAATACATATATATCACTGCAGTGGCAATATAATATTCCACTGCTTGGATCTACCAGAATTTATTGAGCCAGTTTTTCATTGTTGAATGTCTGAGTTATCTCCTTGCAAAACTTCTGTCATCAACAGCCCTGCAGAGAACATTCTTGTACATAAACCTTTTCATATCTGTCAAATTATTTTTCTTCTAGGTCTCTATTCTTAACATATCCTTGCAAACAAAGATGTTCCCTCTTTCTGGGCACCTGCATTAAGTCATTCTGTCTGAGAGATATTTACAAGGCTACATTCATTAATTGTATTTTTGGATGAATTCCCATTCATGTTTCATCATCCTGAGACAACCTGGAAACCAAATAAGGTTCCAGCTCTCTAAGTCAGCAGCAGGATGGGTCAATGACTCCGTAAGCAGTGGCATCAGGCAGACCCCCACTTAGACAATGCCGTCCTGGTTAACATGCACAAAAGGGGAAGCAGCAGTGAAACTTGTTGCCTGCTGACAAACCTTGCTGTACATCTGTGTTGCCAATTACTTGTTCAACAAACCTGTTACTTTTTTAGAAATAATAAATAATTCGGGGAAAGTCACTTTGAATCCTCTGACATCTGTTGCTTGTACGACTCTGAATTACTCATCAGTGAGCATAAACAGTATTAATTAAAGAAAAGTACTGAGGCAGACCATTGAAATAGGAATGAACATTGCAGAAGAAAATGCCTTTACTCAGAGGACATTTCACATGTCATTGACAAATATCTCAAAGAACACGCCAATCCTGGGAACCTAAAGGAAGCATACGTTTGGAAATCAGACAGCAGGATATCATGATGAGCCTTATCTTTATGTTTCCAATTTTATTTTTTTCTTCCCTTCAGAAAAAAAAAAAAAAATCACAATCTTTGATTTGGTCTGTTTCAAGCATTCTACCCATTTGTCCTTTGTTCCAAGAAGCCGTATGGCATTCTATGAGAAAGAAAGTCTTATTGAGATTCAAAAGAATCACATGAGTAAGTGTCGGGAATCAAGTCATCAAGTGCTCATTTGTAAACTGAGATTTAGACATATTAATGGCAGGCTCCCGCCCAAATTAAGGATAGCTCAATCTAGCTAATGATTTATTTCCATGACAACTTTGGCACTTCCTTGTGACAAAGCTCTGTCTCCTGGTAAAGAGGAAAAGGGAAAAACCTGCCTGACTGCCTGTTCCACATGGGCTGCCTTTGGCTAATCATTCAATTCTCCCCCTTGCCTGTCTATCCGCTACTGGACATGCGGGTGATAGGGGGCAAGTGTGAATGGCAGGGCAGTATGTTAAAGAGTTAACAAAGCATGGTTGGTAAACAAAGGCCTCAAAGAACCAGGGAGTTGGTGGCTCATACCTGTCTGCTCAGGTACCAGAAAACATGGACCTCTTAGGATAGACCTCTGAAAATCTCCTGATCCAAACCACCCACAATATTTCATCAGATAGCTGCTGATGAAATATTGGGGGTGGTTTGGATCAGGAGATTTTCAGAGAAACCTATTTCTTTGTGAGGCTCTGGTGAATTGCTCAGTAACGATTGCTGGACACCGAGGTAACCCGGCCTGCCCTCTCCACTCTGTGCGGGTACCAACTGCTGAGGTTGCTGTGGGCAACAGAGGAGAACAGAGGCCGGAGAGGGAAGAAATATATATACATAATTTACAAAAACAAGATTGAAGAAAGTCACAGGCCCAGTTTGGGGTTCTTTCAAAACCTCTGAATTCAGAGCATTGCCAAGGTCTTCTTGTTAGTGGCAACTAATGAATGGCTTCTGTGCATATAATTAGCATTCCCGTCCCCCAGGTCAGATCCTCAGAGACCTCCCAATGCTTGCAGAAAAAGAGAGCCACAGAGACCCTTTTCTCAGTGACATCCTTTCAAGGGATTTCACCAATGGGGACAAGCCTCCCTTGTTTCTTCAAAGTTTGGTTTGTGGTTGTTTTTCTTTGGGGGAGGAAGGTTGGAAGAGATACAGGAGGTGGCAGAGGGGAGCCTGGAAAAGAGGAGAAATAAATGGGGAACCAGCTCTGCCCGTCTCAGAATGGTCCTTCATCAAAGGGGGTTTGTTGTTGAAAACAGCAGAGAAGGGATGGAGAAGCAGCCAAGCTCTCGGTTTCCCTAAAAGAGGTTGAACAGGGACTGCTGTGTCTCTTTTAGGCGCTACCGAAAATGAAAGTACAGATTTAGACAAGATCAGACTGGCTCTCACATAGCACTGGATTTTAAGAAATGAACTAAAAAAGATCTCTTTTCAAAAGACACCAGCCTTTCCTGGTGAAGAGCATTGCCTATATAGGAGCTCCTCAACCAAAACTCAAGTCCAGCCGGAATGAAGCCTGTTTCTAACACCAAAGGCTGCCCAGAGGCCTACGCAGCCTTCATTTCATTCCAATATTCCAAACCCAGCATTTACCAAGTACCCTCTATTTCGGAAAGGAAAAAAGAGGAAAAGTCACTGCCTCCCAGTTTTTCAATACAGGCAGAGTCTCTGAGCTAGAGGTAGTGTGACAGAATCTTAGGGGTCGAACCAAAGAAGTTGAACCTCTCATCCTCCGGGAAGCCAGCAGTGACATGCCGTCACTCTCAACAGGAAGGACCCGGACACAGCCCACAGTCCTGGTTTGGTGACTACACTATGACACAGCCAGAGATTGGGGGCTGTAGAGCACTCAGCTGGCCGTGAGCAAGACTTTTTTTGGGGGGTGGGAGTGGTTCTGGATTCTCTCATGGCTTCAACCCGAGAGGCACATGGGACCCTCGGGGTAGAGGGAAGCTCAGTGCTGTCGATGGAGGCCACCCAAACCAGGCCTTGAGTGCTGTCCGAATGGTAAAAATCAAACAGGCCGAGTGAGGTGGCTCATGCCTGTAATCTGTAATCCCAGTACTTTGGGGGGCCGAGGTGGAAGGATCGCTTGAGCCCAGGAGTTCAATACCAACCTGGGCAGCATAGCAAGACCTTGTCTCTACTCAAAAATTGAAAAAATGAGCTGGGAGTGTTGGCACACACCTGTAGTCTCAGGTACTTGGGAGGCTAAGGCAGGAGGGTCCCTTGAGCCCAGGAGGTAGAGGCTGCAGTGAGCTGTGATCGTGCTACTACACTCCAGCCTGGGTGACAGACACCCTGTCTCTTAAATAAGACATCCTGCACAGAGACACCAATGGATAGAATGGTCCAACCTTGAAGGCAACATCCAGAGTTTCCAAACTTTATCATGCACGGGAATCATCTGAGAACCTCGTTGCAGTGCAGGTTCTGATTCTGAGGGGGTGGGTGGGGCCTGAGATTCTGCATTTCTAACAAGCTCCCAGGAGACACTGATGCCCCCTGGTCCATGGACCACAGCTGGAGCAGCAGCACTTCAACCCCAGACAGCAGGTTAGTATCACAGCCCAGCACCCAGCCCTAGCCCAGCCCCATTAAATCCATGTATCTGGCCAGGTGCAGTGGCTCACACCTGTCATCCCTCCACTTTGGGACGTGGAGGTGGGAGGATTGCTTGAGCCCAGGAGTTCAAGACCAGCCTGGGCAACCTAGTGAGACCCATCTCTTAAAGTAAATAAATACAAATTAGATAAATAAATAAAAATAAATAAATCTGTATATCTGACAGTGAGGTCAACCACTAAGATTTTTTGTTTCCCAGGTGATTCTTATGTGCATCCAGAGTTGAGAACCCACTGGCTGAACTAATTCCAGCTCTCGATATCAAACAGACATACAGACCTAAGAAATTCAGTCTCTACGCCAGGCGTGGTGGCTCACACTTACAATCCCAGCAATTTGAAAGGCCGAGGCGGGTGGATTACCTAAGGTCAGGAGTTCGAGACCCCTCCTCCCCGGCCAACATGGAGAATCCTTAGCTCTACTAAAAATACAAAAACTAGCCAGGTGTGGTGGCACATGCCTGTAATCCTAGCTGCTCAGGAGGCTGAGGCAGGAGAATTGCTTGAACCCAGGGTGTGGAGGCTGCAGTGAGTTGAGATTGCACCACTGCCCTCCAGCCTAGGCCACAAATTTATAGTCTTCGAAAGCACTTTGAAAGAGGATAGAATATAACAGTTATTTGCATGATATTGTCTTAGTGTCTTTGATTTGACTTAAGAGTTAATACTGTCTCTTGTTATCAAATTCCATAAACAAGGACTGCATGCTAACTCTATGGGACACACTGGGTTTTTTTTTTTTTTTTAGTTCGGAGACCGCTCTGTTGCTGTGAACTCCCCATGGCCCAATTCCTTAACTGACAATCAACTGAGAAATATATTGGAGGTCCCAGTGGCATCCAGTCAGAACCTTGAAAAATCCTCCTCCAATTATTTCAGCTATGGGCTCCTGGCACCGTCTGATTCCTGATGCAGAATCTACAAAGCAAACGCTCATTCCCTCCCCTTCCGGTCCTCCCTAATCCTGCCAGTCCTACACTCCCAGGTGGTAACAAGGTTCTCTGCTGCCAACTTTCAACTTTCTGTGCAATAAACAAACCTCCCTCTCAGCAAAGGGCATCAGTTCTGCCAGCCACCAACAGATGGCATCAGCGGCCGTACAAGGTCGTCGCAGCCTCTGCCTTGGCCTTGTTCCTTCATCTGTCATGTTTGCTATGTTTAAAATGGCAATGTCTTGTTAAAAACGCATGGAAGGTGAAAGAAAATGAGGTCCCAGTGCAGGCATCTTTGGACAGTCAAATGGGAGTTGTAAAGGAGTAAGACTCCCCAACACCCCAGGCTGTTTCATGAAACTTTACCAACCACCAAGGTTGTACCCAGCTCAGCAGGCGTCACGTTGGATTTAGAACACATAGGCTTTCAGAAACTAACCTATGAGAAGAGCTGCTGTGTCCCCAAATGTCGTAACAACTAAGTTGCTTCCCACAGCCCACACGGAAACCACACAGAAAGCAAAACAGCCCTCTACCGAGAGGAAGGCTAGAACCACAGCAACCCCATTCAGAACCAACGACCCTCTGCAAACCAGAGCTCCTTTTCCTCTTGATTCATCTGGCTGTGTGCTAAAGGGACCATCCGTCATTCCCAAGAAAACAGGGTTCTCCCTCATCCACAGCGTCAACGTCAAGTGTTCACACTAGAGCAGCTCAGCTCCTTCTGGAGAAAACTCATAGGCGAATGCCACTGTCTTAGTCTTTCAAAAGTAATGGTCAAGAATCCCATGGGCTGAGTGTAGTGGCTCATGCCTGTAATCCCAACACTTTGGGAGGCTGAGGTAGAAGGATTGCTTGAGGCCAGGAGTTTGAGACCAGTCTGGGAAACACAGTGAGAACCCATTTCTTAAAAAAAAAAAAAAAAAAAAATCAGCTGGAAGTCAAAAGGCTGAAGTAAGTTGTGATCATGTCACTGCACTCCAGCCTTGGCAACAGAGGCAGACAAAAAAAATAAAAATAAAAATAAGAAGAATCCTGTGGATTGCCAGAATTGTGTGTGTTAATTTTAGATCAGTGGTTCTCAGCATGGGGCGATTTCGTTCCCCAGGGAACGTTTGAGTGGTCACTGCCAGGGGAGCGGGAGAGGGTACTACGGGCATCTAGAAGGTAGAGGCCAGAGACGCTGCGAAACAGCCTGCAATGCACAAGACAGCTCCCACGACAAGGAATTATCCGCTCCGAATGTTGGCAGGGCCGAGGTTGAGAAACCTTACTCTAGAGGCCAGGAATTTTGGCCAAGATAATTAAAATTCCAAAAGTCAATTTCCCATTGTCATCACAGAAAACATCTTGACGGAGAAGACAAAAGCTAATTAATGGGAACTCCTTCAAGTTCTCCCTCCTGACATGGAAATCGACCCTCCCAAACTTGCTTCTTACCCATTTTTGAGAACAGGGTGTCCCTTGTTTTTGCCAAGGCCCCTGCCTCTGGATCTCCTTCTCACTGACCTTCCTGGGAATTTTGCTCCATCCACCGTCCACTCCTCCCCAGCATCTGTGCTCCTCCTCCCCACACCTCCCGCTACCTGGCTCACAGTTTGGCTGACTTAAAATGGGGCATTTTCCCATCTTAAAAACATTTCTCAGCCCTGGACTTGATGGCTCACGCCTGTAATTCCAGCATTTTGGGAGGCTGAGGCAGGTGGCTCATGAGGTCAGGAGATCGAGACCATCCTGGCCAACATGGTGAAACCCTGTCTCTACTAAAAGTACAAAAAAAAATTAGCCAGGCATGGTGGCATGTGCCTGTAGTCCCAGCTACTTGGGAGGCTGAGGCAGGAGAAACGCTTGAACTCAGGAGGCAGAGGTTGCAGCGAGCCAAGATCATGCCACTGCACTCCAGCCTGGGCAACAGAGTCAGACTCCATCTAAAAAAAAAAAAAAAATCTCACCCAGAGAATAAAATAAGTACTTGTGAGTCCATACTGATATAAATAAATGATGAGAGAAACAGAGAAGGGACAAATCTCCCTTACAGAAGAATTCCATGTAATAAAGGCAGAAGGCTTGGGAGAACAGAAAATCACCAGAACATTACAGTAATAATGTCTCCAGGCAGGGTCCACTGAGGAATGTTAAGTTCATGGGCAAACTTTAAGGGGAAACAGGATACCTGCATAGACTCAATGCATCACTCCAAAAACATTTATTAGCCAGGTGAGGCGGCATGTACCTGTAATGCCTGCTACACTAGAGGCTAAGGCAAGAGCATCACTTGCGCTCAGGAGTTCAAGGCCAGCCTGGGCAACATAGCAAGATCCCATCTGTACAAAATATTAAAAAGCAGGCCGGGTACAGTGGCTCACGCCTGTAATCCCAGCACTTTCGGAGGCCAAGGTGGGTGGATAGCTTGAGCCCAAGAGTTCAAGACCAGCCTGGGCAAGATAGAGAGACTCCATTTCTAAAAATAATAACTTTTAAAATTATAAAAATATATTAATTATGGTGGTTTTAGCATCTGTCCAAAAATTCACTGATACCCCTCCCTCTAGGAGGCAGACCCTAATCTCCCTCCCCTGAGTATCAGTCAGATTTAGTGACTCACTTCTAATGAATAGACTGCAAGCTTGTTCAACCCTTGGCCCACAGGCCACATGTGGCCCAGGACAGCTTTGAATGTGGCCCAACACAAATTCGTAAACTTTCTTAAAACATTATAAGATTTATGCACAGTCCTTTTTTTTTTTTTTTAAGCTCATCACCTATCATAGCGTTAAAGTATTTTATGTGTGGCCCAAGACAATTCTTCTTTTTCTAATGTTTCCCAGGGAAGCCAAAAGATTGGACACCCCTGGAATAGAGTATGGATAGGGAAATTAGCAACTTACAGTGGGTAACTCTGGTAGACAACACCTTAACCAAGTGATCAAGGTTAACTTCACCAGTGATAAATCAGGTTGGCATCATGTACCCCCTAATATGATGTGACGAGAAGGCCATGTCACCTCTGGGGTATTCTTTCTCCAAAACCCAAACTCCAGTCTAATGATCACAAAACATCAGACAAATCCAGATTGAGGGACATTCTACAAAATACCTAACCAGCCCACTTCATAAGTGTCAAAGTCATAATACAAGGAAAGATGGAGAAATTGTCATAGTGACTATTATGACATAATAATTAAGCACAATGTTATATCCTGATTAAATCCTGGAACAGAAAAAGGACACTAAGGGAAAAACTGGTAAAATCTGGAGAAAGTCTGGAGTTTAGTTAATACAACTGTACCCATGTTAATTTCTGGGTTTCGATAAATATATTATAATTTGTATGGTATTAACATTGGGGGAAGGTGGATGCAGACTATGGCTGGGGGTTCTCTGGATTTGCAACTCTTCTGTAAGTCTGAAGTTAACTTTGAAAGTAATGGTAAAAACCGCAGTTACTTTTGTACCAACCTCATAAAATAGAAAGTTTAAAAGGAAAAAAAGCTCTCACATGAACACATAGGTGCACACAAGGGCCTGTATGTGAATGTTCATTGCAAGTTTACTCATAATCATCCAAAACTGGAAATAACCCAAATGTCCAT